AGGAGATTTGAAAAGTTTGTCCTGTACAATATAGCTTGAATAGTTTAGGAGATATATACATTAAACCTGTCACTTTTTAAATATTTTAAAACTCTTGCTAATGTGATTCGCTGTAACAAAATGGAGTTTTATATCTTTATTTGCGATTTACAATTATATTCATCTACAATGCCAGACGTCTTATGATGCCAAGGGACAAGTGCACAAAGTTTCATCAAGATATCCATTTTTTCCCAAGAGACATTAATCCTTCAGTGTAAATCGAACGGAAGCGAGAGAACCATTGTTGTGCCATGCGAACTGATACCGCATCGCCTCCGTAAACTCCACAAATTTTATTCATTTTTCCCTTTTTTAATACAAAAACATCAGAATATAGCGAGTTTCTTCATTATTTTCACTCATTTTTGAGAGGAGAAGCCCATAATTCGTCCACAATGAAAGTTTTAAAGAACCAATATCAGTTTGAGTACTCACTTCCTAAATTTATGTTGGCCTCTATTGCACACTTTATCAAAATTTACCAAACCAATTAGACAACAGCGGAGACGCTTCATTTCCTACTCGTTTATCAAAAGAGCGTGTGATCGCTTCACTGCATACGGTTGCTCAGAAATTATAGATAAACCAAATCAAAGACATTAATAAATGCATAGCCAGTGATTTGCCATAAAAACTGCTGAGCTTCGGGGCAGTGTTTCATAATTGATGTGCAGTTCCATCTTAAAAGTATCAATTAAATGCTCAATGATTGGGAAGATGCAGACTTAGCACTTAATGTATAGTTTATGCTCATAAAAATATAATTGCGTAGGGCGTTGCATAAAAATCTTGCAAAAGGGGTAAGAATATGCATTCTGACTACAATTGGCCAACATAAGGTTACACAGTAAGTTTCTAAATATGCGAAGGAGCTAATGTCTCATTTAATCTAGCTCACTTAAAGCTAGTTATAATAGTATATCCAGCGCCTCCTCATTTAATATACTGCAAAATCACAGATTTCAAGCTATTACGTCTGGGAAACTTTAATTTATAGTTTTTCCTTCAACTAACCTCAATGCACCCTCCGCGCTACTTCGATACCCAAAATAACACTCAATAGTTTACAAATCCACACAAGTAGCCTTATCAGCAGCCGCTTAAGCCCATTCATGCCCAGGGGAAGTGATCAACACTACACACCTCTGCATTCGCAGCAGGCACACAGCATACAAGACCTCCAAACACCACGAGTCAACATTGAGCGAGTTGCGGCCACTGACCACCAGCGACTAACAGCTAGCGGCTGGCAGCTGAGTTGTATTGGGAGGAGTTCGACACCACCTACCGAATTCGGGATTCGCATGCGAAACTCAACTTGTCGATTTGTTAGTGGTGTTAGTCACCACCCCAATATTCAAGTGCTTATTTTCATATAGCTGTTGCTGGTTGCATGTTTCACTACTTGGGTTTGGTGGCAGTAACGATGAGCTCTCAACGCTTTTCTCCAACTACTGCAAACTCAAATGTTTATTGTTCTTATTGTTATTATTGTTATTATGAAAGCACATTGAATTACGCCGACCACATCGGTGGTCTTATCAGAAGCTACGATTTCGTATGAACCTGTCCAAAATGGCATTGGAAGCCATTTATTATGAGCTTTTGTACTCCCAAACAAACACTTGTGAGCTCTGACTCTTTTTTTGGGTTAAATTGGCTTGCTGGTCTATTTGTTGCACGTGTGTGTGGTTTGGAATGCCAGTGGCGATTTTGCACTTCCTCCTCTTTTATCGTTTTCAAATAAATGAATTATTAAGTGGATGTACATAATTATGGTTTACTTTGCTCTCTGACTAGCGCAATGCTCATTTTGTTAAATGCTCACACAATCGAATGTGGCATTGAAAATTGATGTAAAGTGCGCCGCCCATTTAGACTACATACTATGCAGTACGCTTTGGTTTGATGAGAAGAGAGTGGAATGGAACTCGGGTTACCAATATTTCTATCATTCGTTGAACTATTGTCACTAACTTGGGAACACTTTATGATGTCTAGGCCAAGTTTCAGCGCTGGTCAAGACTCACCACTTTCACGGCTACGAGATCAATCTAATTCTAAGTGGAATGCAAGACGTTCATTAAACTACTATACTTGCTTTAAGCAGTAACAAATGGTCATGCAAGTGGACTGACTAAGAATCTTCAAGAACGCAAATTTTCGACACTTTCCCCTCGACTTTTTTTTATAGACAGGGATTGAAGTATATCGGAAAGACCTTTTACAAGCTAATCCTTTGACGGTTGTCCAAGTGAAAGGAAACAAGGAAAGTTTCTACATAGAAGATACTCAACTGCCAATGATTTCGTCTCTCAAGTATGATTATTCCCATACAGTTTTATCCGCAGGCTTCACAGTAGCCTATTCTGTCAATAGTGTATTTCAAACCTTGCTACAGTATTTTCACTTCATTTTACTGCAACAAAAATCCTCCAGATAACTATTCTCCATTTAAAATTGAAAGCTCGCCTTTCAGTATCATTTGTATGACATTCACATAAAAAAAATAAAACAAAGGCATAATCACTTTGAGCTCTCATCTTATTGTTACCTTTAGGGCGTTCTTCTCGATAACGTGTCTTTGTATCACGTTGTTCAATAAGTTTTGTCGTTCGATAAGAGAGGGCGTTGCTACTGGTCCAAATTGTGTTTTTTTTTTTTTTTTGCTTTTTTTTTTTTTTTTTTTTTTTTTTTTTTTTTTTTTTTTTTTTTTTTTTTTTTTTTTTTTTGTTGGTACACTCTTTTACACTTCAGAAATCATAGCCACAATACAGTATATGGTTTCGAGTTGTGTTCGATTGTCTGAGAGAGATTTAGTAGAGACTCTACACATCTCATTAGGCAGTATGCACCATATTTTAAGTTAAAATTTGGGTTTTAGAAAGCTGTGTGCACAATGGGTGCCGTATTTATGTAACAAAAACAAATTTGAATGCCAGTTTCTCAGCTCAGCGATTTAAAAAGGATAAAGTGGATGTTGTGCATCGATTCATCACTATGGATGAGACTTGGATTTACCAATATGATCCTGAATCAAAACAAGAGGCTAAAGAGTGGTGTGAAGATTGCTGTTCGGCTACGAGAGGAATTTTGTTTGTGAATTACGTGCAAACTGGCAAAACAATTAATTTTGAGTATTATTGCTACCTTTTGGTCCAGTTGTTCAGAGAGATTATACTGAATAATAAAATGTATTTTGAATCATAAAATTGTGCTTTTCTTATCAAACGGCAGAACTTATTAATCAGAACCAGTTTGATCAGAACACATCTTATAACGAGACTTTAATCATGAGCTTACGCAAATTAAAAGGAAAATATTTAACACAAAACGGCTTTTATGACAAAATACGACATTACATTGTTTTATTTTAATAAATATTATACGATGTGAATGCTTTATGTCAAAAACAGCTGTTTCACAAATCTTTCACTGCACTGATGACAGTCTAATACCATGTTCAGGCCGACACTTAATCACACGATTTCGGCTGTTGAATGGATTATCCCACTAATCTTAAAAATTTATCACCATTTCGCCATACAAAAATGACAGCTCCAAATCACTTCATTGAATTTATTTGAAACTGATCCACGCTAAATCTCTCTGTGCGACTCTGATTTTGCGCAATCTACTTGTCACCACTGGAAATCTGTTACATTATCACAGCTGATTTAGACACTACAAAGGGGTAAAAAGATAAACAAACAAATTTTTTTAAAGCAGTGAATCTAATTTCACCTGAAAATCGACTTAACAAATGAAACAATGCATCCCTTATTTCTATTATATGGAAAATATTAAAAAAAAGACGGTTTTTATTTCAAAATACTATATGACAATATTTTCTTTTGATAAATATTAAGCGATGTGAATTCTTGAATGACAATAACAGCTGAGTGAGTCAGCAGTGAGAACACTGTTGGGTTATGAAATGCTTAAATGTAATCTAATCTTTTAAGTTTTCGGTCTGAACATGGTATAAAATATTGAATAGATTAAATCTAATCGAATTACTAATTGGTCGGAACATAATATGAGTCACCCCTTAAACCAAATCACACAATTAAACATATTCAACACCACACACTTCCGGCTGTAAACCTATGAAATAGACACACCACGTGGTAAAACGGCACTGTTTACGATCTGTGCGACCTCTGTGGGCCGCTAGTTGTTCTTAAAGGTAAATATATGTCGGCAGTGCAGTGCAAGATAAAAACAAGTGTCGATAATGATATTCCCAATCGATGAAAACAAAAAGTCTTTACTAATAAATCACCACGGTATGTGGCAATATTTATTATGAAATTAATAATAGGTGTCTAAGTTTTACGAGGTCATTCTTCAAGTAACAATTTAAATTGCAAAGAATATTTATATTATATTTTGTAATAATATTAGTTATCGCCACGCCTCGATTTGAATCTCTTAAATAACTATCAAATACTATTGTCCTAAACAATTTACTAAATACATAAAATGAGCACGAATACGATACTATACCGCAATGACAATTATCAATTTTATATTATAAGCCTATAAAGTTCTTACATCACGAAAGACTTAAGATATATATTAAAGAAATATTTTAGAAATTTATCGTTATAGAAAAATATATTTATATTTCAAATTTATTATGGCATTAGAACAGCTGCATGATATTTTACTTATATATAGAGATTTACTTTAAAAATCATAAAATTTTCTTAAATGTTCATTATACACATTTATATATATATGTATTGTATATCACTTTTTATTCCAAATAAACCCGCAACTTGTGTCTCCCAACCGACAGGCAAACTTTTCGATAACTCTAACGCTTAAACTGTATTACATTAATATTTGGGAAAAGCAACCCTGTAGAGCAGCCAGTGTTTCAGCCGCACGCAGTTTGTTTCCCTGCAAAGCAGTTGGAAACTTGAATTGCTCCATTGTTGTTTTTTTGTTGGTTTAGTTTTCTTGTTGCTTCTTCGGTATTAATGTGTTTGGCAGAGTTTTGAATAATTTTGTGAAATTTATAAAGCGAATTAGAACAGATATTAATTAAATAAAATACAGCGCAATGTATCGCGACCAATGCAGGGCCTTGTACTAACAATTAAAGTTTATGATGGTGTTAATTTCAAGAATCATGCGTAATACTCTGGCGAAATATTGAATGGTTTGTTTATTTGCGCCCACGCTGAGTGCATTTAACAAAGTGTACTTGTGCCACAGTGCATATGAAATATTTTAAAATAGCAAATATATATATTCAAATATTTTTATAATTTACGAGTTAAAATTGATGAGTAAAGCGAGCATAAAAGAGAAATATTGAAGTGTTTACTGGCTGAATGTGCTTGTTCATTGAAATATAAGTGCAAATATATACCGACATATCGAATTTGAAGTGAGGGGGGGTAATACAAAGTGCATCTGTGTTAAGAGACTTGTGTGCGTGTGCGCACGAACGAGTCGAGAATGTGCGATAATGATGAATCCTTTTCGTCACAGCAACAAGACAATCTGCATATTAGAATGAACGAGAGTGGGGAGTGCGGGGATGCTATGCTACTTGCATATAACCAAAACAATTTGGCTCAGGACTCAATTTCTCTATGCAGTTCTGAGGCATCTTTCGATCAGCAGCTGCATCAGACCACACAATCGCTTGCCATAGCAAGTTCAATGATGGCCGGTTTTGGTATTGACACCAACAGCAGCGCCAATGCTGGTGGCCTAATAGGTGCCAACGCGCTCGGTAGCGGCACGAATAGTATTGTACGTTATAATGATTTAAATATTTTTGGTTCTAGTGAGTCTGTGGGTGTTTTGACAACGCCTACGGCCACAATACAACCATCGTTGGCACCGCAAATTGCTGCCGCAGTGAATACGGTCAAGATCAATGTAGAAGAGTTGCTGCGCGAGAATCGGGCACTGCGCGAAAAGCTCAAGGAAGTCACAGCTGATCGTGATCATTTGTTATGCGAAGTGTCGAATTTACGATTGGAACTGGATATGTCTGAGTTAAAACAGCTGCCGGAACAAAGGTAAGTGCATTCTTGTTTTTTTGTTGTTTTTTTAGTTTTTCTGTATAAACAGAGTGCTGGAGGGTGCGAATGGGTGTGCCAATATATGTACATATGTTCCTCAAGCAGGATATGTATTACTAAACAGTTCTGGTGGCACTGCTTGAGGCATTGAGCCTGGGTGTTGTGGTGGTGTTGCCGGTTTTGCTATTACCACCAATTTCAGCAACGTTGAGTGACTAATAACATGCAAGTTTGTTTGCATGTTTGTTAGCCCTTAAAAGTCACCCCTACTACGCTCGTTCCAATTGCATCGGTTGACGTACTGCTTGAAGGTTCAATTGTTTTCGTATAGGTCTCAAGTGCGTCTGGTTTCATAGTCGTTGTTTTGTTTTTTGAACACAAGAAACAAACGTGTAAAAACGAGTTATGCACACCGAACGTCGCAACGGAAAAGACAATGCAAGCACTTTTTTTCGTTTATCTAGAGCTTGAAATAATATTTCCATGCGTGTTGACATATCTGTGGGTGTGATTTTTGGTTAGGCCGGTCAAGTATGTTCATATTAACAACAAAAAAATATTTAAACTGTATTGCGCTCTTTAGAAACAAGTTTTTGGTATTAATTAGAGTATTTAATACTGATAAATACTCGTTTACTATTTTTTGTATACAAATAAATCTGATGTGTTAAAAATTTTCACAGAAATGGCCTGAATTCATTCAAGCTTTTTGCACAATAAAATTTTGGCATGTGTTAAATGCGCTTATACTTGTACTCATATTTTACAAAAAATTTAAATAAAGAAAAACATTTATTTATTCTTTAGTGGTAATGATGTACAAATATTTATTGTACCAAATTATATTAATAAAGTAATATAAATTACTACTTTCTATTGTTATTTTATTGATCTCATTAATTGATAAGCAAATCATAAATTTTTATAAACAAATAGATATATTATATATTTCTTATTACTTTTCACCTCCAAAAATAAAAATTTATAGTTTAGTTCAATATTGATTCTATCTTGATTTTAAAATTATTTTTGCTTTTAATATAATATTTTTTATTAAAATAATAATAATAAAAAAATATTTAGAGTCTATCAAGAAACGATGAAGGTAGAGATCTCAGCAATCTACACTAATTTAAAAAATTCTAAAATGTTGACTAGAGTTTATATAATTGGAAATAAGAGTGGTTTTCAATATTCGGTCAGGAATAAGAAGTAAATATTTTAAACTTAAAAAAATACAGTATTTTTAGCACATAATATTCCATCTAATTTCTTGAAAAAAATGTTTGAACGAGATAACATATTAAATAACATGCATAACTTTTGAGATTATATGAAATTATCTAATTACCTACAATATTTCCATATAACATTCATTTATAAAGCTCGTAGCTTTGCCGGGAATCGAGTTAACCGCTTTTAACCCTTAAAAATGCAACCCCACCCCCATCCCTTTCACGATCTCAAATCGCTAATAAATTATTTTTCCTTTAGTGTTTATTATTTTATCTTTGGTTTCCGATGGATTTCATCCGACGCTTTGGTAGGTGTTTTCAAATATTATTTAACCTGGTCTATATGTACATATATTAATAACTTCTAGTGTTTTGCCTATTTCTAAACTGAAAAAAAAAACAATTTTTTTTTTAATCAAATTAACAAACAAATGGCCAAAGCGATATTGCAAAGCTAATAGCGCATGTACTCACTCGCCAAAAAGAAGAAAATCAAAAACCAACTAAAAAATCGCCGCAGTAAATGGCAAATAAGTTCATTACATACTGTTCATACTGTTGTTTTTGTCAGCACTAGTGATACAACCGTCGAGAGCACCGCACCGCCACCCTTGAAAACAAACAAATGCTTGGTTGCCTTCACATACAAGTATGACTCAAGCATGAAGATAAGATAAGTTCTTCTAGTAGTTTTTTTGCTGTTGGTTTTTTCCACTATTATCTTTGTCGATTTTCTACTCCTTTTCATGCTGTAATTTGGTGTTATCAGAATCATACCGTTTATTTTTGCCTAGAAGGCACTTTGATTGTTTGTAGGTAAATATGGTGTCATTATTTTTTTATTTTCCATTTTGAAGCGCTGTAAGTTAGCGGGTTATTTTACAGGGACGGTTCATTCTGAACATATTTGCCTAAGATAATATGAGTGTAAACCCGGTTTCAAGCCAGCGATTTTTAATGGGAGTTATAAATATTTTTTCGTAAATTTTTGAGGTTCATTTTGAAATTGTATTGAACTGCATACTAGCATAAGAAAATTTACCGGCAGAGATATGAAATTTACCGGTGGAAATTTTCTTGAACATTTCTTAAGCATTTTTTTATATTAAGTTTTTACATTTCTTGACAGCTGGATCCTAAGCTTTATTCGTTTATTCCTCGTTTAATCTCGATAATTCGGGCAACGCGGTAATCCACACAGAATTGATTTTCATTGTTGACTCTGTATATCGGATCTCATAAATCCGCACACTATGATCTGGGTATCTACCGATTTGGATTAAAATGTATGATCTCATAAAGCGGTGATTTTTATGAAACAGGTTCGATCTTCTTTCTTACATAAGAGGTATATAATTCCAGTTAATTGTAAAAATTAATTCTTTCTTGAACGAGTCAGAAGTGGAATAAGTAGTTCAACAAAATTGTGCTTTTTGGCGATGTTAAAGTGTAATTTATGTACTACACCCCGTCCAGAAAATATTGGGAATTCCTCATTTAAATCTCCCGCTTATGTGAAAGGAAGGTACATTTTTTTTTACTAGGTTGGTACAATTGTTGTTTTTGTTGTTGTTTAAACGGTTTCTCAATTACCGTTAGGATGGTAAGGGTTATCTGTGTTGTCGTCGACGTCATCGAACGGGAGGCCCAGGAAACATGCTCTTTCAACGTGGTCGGACCAAAGGGTAAAGGATGTTAAATGAGTAGGGTTGGCAGGTATGCAAAGATGTGGTCAGGGTCATGTGGAGACTCGTTGCATGCTGGATATACATTTAATATGTCGAAGTATATTCTGGATAAGTAGGAGTTTAACATGTTACAATATCGAAGTTGCGCTACGGTCACTCGCGTTTCTCGCGGCAACTCGAGTTCTTCGTATGCGATGGGTAGTGGTTTGACTCCAAGAACGCCATTCACCGGAAGGGTGTTGATGGCTCCACTGTGAATGGCGGTCAGTACCAGTCGAAAGTCAGTTGTATCCGAAGTCCAGTCGGCGTACTGTACAATGTCGTCGACGTAATCAAGTAAAGACCTCTTGATGATTCTAGGAGGTGGTTCCGCTAAAAGCAGGTGGCTGCTAAGGTGATTTCTACGAAATCATCCCAGCAGGCACTGCTTTTAGAGGAGTTCATTATGTTCCTTAACCGAGAGTATAAGCGTCTCACTATGTAGATGTTCGATGAGAGACTTCAGGAGGCATTCCGTCGCGGTCCGGAGTGGTTCCTCATCTGCCAACCACTACATCCAGGCGATCATATTGTTACTGCGTAATTGAGGACTGGCCGGCCGATTGCTTGTATGTTGTCTTTTCCCCATGAGCTGCCAGCTATCGACTTTACGATTTTGTTGCGGCTCCGTACCTTGGCGATAATCGCGGTCGAGTGGGGAGTGAAAGAGCATAGACTATCAAAAGTTACACCTAAAATCTTAGGGTTATTGACAGTCGGAATTTTGACGCCAACGACTGCAATATTAAGTTGAAGTCTATACTCTTTTCCATGCAGTGAGGAAACAAGAAAGGTCGGAGAGGTCGGTTGAGGTAGTTGTTTACTTTCACACACATCCAACGCTACGAGGATTGTTCTCTCAGAGGCTGGTTTCTGGTTGAGGCCACGAACTATCTGAGCGTTTATGACGTTAAGTGCTGTGGTGGTGCTGTACACTTTTCGGAATCCATGCTGGTGGCTGGCTAGGATCTGGTGGTGAGTGAAGGTCGGGAGTAGCAAGGCCTCAAGTGTCTTCGCTACTAGGGAGAGGAGAGTTATCGGACGATAGAACTCCCCTTTGTTGGCGGGTTTCCCAGGTTTCAGTAGTGGGACCACTTTTGAAGACCTTGGTGAGATAGCCTACTCCCATCGAGCTTAATTGCTTTAGCTTATGCATGCTTATGACTCCATCAGGGCTAATGAATTTAAAAGGTTTTAATTTGTCGATGATATTCTGAACCTCCTCATCAGTGAAAGTAAGTGGCGCACAGCCGTTGGTTAACTCATCGCATCATCGGTGCAGTGTAAACTGGATGACCATTGAATTGGATTTCAGCTCGGTCGTCATGTCTTTTCGAGTTAGACAAAGCCTTGACAGTAGCCCAAAGCTTACTTACACCGATGGAGGGGTTGCAGGACTTCAGGTGCTCTATCAATTTTGTCTGCTTATGAATATATTGGGCGCTATCTTTACGTATTACTTTGAAACCGGCATAACTCAGAAGATATGAGCAGCTGTTTAGTTTGATTTCTGGGACCGCAGCTATCCCGATGGATGATCCTGGGGGTGAGGGAGTGGCGTGTAGGTGATATTTCATTTGAATTACAGGGGCAGATACCTGCAGCGTGGGGCAACGTACGACTCACTCCACTCACGCGTGGTGCGCAGTCCGGAACACGCAGGGAAAGGACACCAGCCAGTTCAGGAATTGCACTTGACTGATGTGCCGTTCCCACGTATGACGGTCTGACACACGAAACAGATTGTGCTAGGAACCAAGAGCTGCTGATCGCACGAGGTTTGGAGCGGGAAGAAGGTTAGGGGGGAACAAGTCAGTGCAGGCCCGTGTTGGACTCAATGCCAGCACGAGTCAAGAGGATACGGAGCAACTTTGCTGCAAGGCATTGCTCCAATGACGACAAACACAAATTAACACTAACCGATCCAAGCGGGGTTAGTTCGCCGAAAAAACAGCCCTTAGTTGGATGATCCGAGTCATTTGCGGTGCGTAGAACCGGCTGTCGGGGGCTTTTTATGTTGTATTTAACATCACTT